CTCCAAAGCCACTTTGGCAGAAGGTTGTGGTTTATCTTGTCTTGTATCAGCAAATTAAAATGGTGTCGTCATTAGGCAGGAAAGTAAGGGGTAGCTGGAAATCAGACGGAAAGAACTAACAGGAGAGTGATGATCACATGAAAGGAGGTAGTCGAGAGAAAAAGGAGCCACCGAATGAGAAATGCAATCATTCACGACAAGTCCCCAGGAAGAGACACCTGAATTAGGTGACAGGAGGGTTTCTGAGACCAGAAATTGCACCATTACAACAGGGGACAGAAGCCGAAGCCTTGGGATGGACGGGGTGGGAAGGACACAAGACAGAGAATATCAGATGAGGAAAACTCCAGGAACAAAGACCACGCACTAGTAGTGTCAACTGTTTGCAGTGCCGACGTCGGGAGTACTTTCTCTATCCTGCTCGATTAATCCAGTGAAAAAGAGAAGAGTCCTGGTTCTTTTCCGCTGATAATATGCACCATGACAACATGTACAATGAAGTAATATGTGCACTGATTTAGACAGGCAGCTCTTCTCTCTGTTTCATTAACAGTTTATTGGAAAGCTTGCAAATATTCCAAATGACTCAAGCGTCCCGTGGTGTGGGCACCTGTGATGAGGCCCAAGGATAGAAAACGTAGACTGTCTGCTTTCAGAAGAAAAGCTATCTTTGCCAGGTCATCTGTTTTAAGGTCTGGGTTCCCAGGCCCTCAGAGCTCCAGCACCCCCTCCAGCATGACGGGGTCCCTGTATCTATCCTGAGGACAAGGGGTGGTGACTTTCACACCGAGAATCCCAATCACTCGGGTTCTCAGTTCATTTCAAGTTCTATCTTGCAATCCTTTCTAGAATACAAACCCTCACCAGCCTGGATCCCCATACCGCGGCATCTCACAGGTTTAAGACCACAGCAAACTCTGCTGAGCTGTCCCTTGTCTCTAGAGTTTTCTACTGATGTTTTGGACACTTTGGTGTTTCTGTATCCATGCTAGCCCAAGTCCTCCACACGAACAGTCCTAAACCAAACCAACTCCTTCCATTGTCTCCCACGGTCCAATGGCAACAATGGCTAAAAAGAAAGGCCAGCAATAAACACTGGAAAAAATAAAATAAAATTTTGAAAACCTGGCTTGTCCTGCTGAGGGCTAACCAGTGAGGAAATCTACAAAGTGGGAAAGTGAATTCAGCAGATGGAGAGGGCACTTACCCCTAGAGAATCACTTTGGAATGCTGCAAACCCAGGACCAAAGTGCACACGAACTTCCCCGGAATTACATGTTCTTAAGATGCAGACATCTCCTCCCTCCCCCCTGCTAAGCTTGCCCTCCCCCTCTCTGAAATGAAAATAAATAACATTTTTAATAGTTAAGCTTCTGACTCTTGATTTCAGCTCAGGTCATGATGTCAGAGTCATGAAATGAAGCCCTGCATCGGGCTCTGAGCTCAGAGGGGAGTCTGCTTGAGCTTCTCTCTCCCTCTACCCGTGCCTGAATCTCCACCCCCCACCCCTGCTCGTACTTTCTCTAACAAAAAAAAAAAAAGAAGAAGTTGGTTGATTAAAAATAATAATACTTTTCACAAGGTAACTGGGACAGAGTACAAGGATTCTTTAACAATTGGCCTAGTAGACAAATGAAATTCATTCAAGGAACCAGGAGCACTCAGCACAGCCAAAGGCCAGTTTCAGAGGCTCTAGATAGACTAGACTCATCTTTCCAGCAAAGCGAACTTCTGGATACATGGCAACTCCATGCTTCCCACTCCTAAAACTGTCTCTAAAGGAAAACAATTAAAAATAACTACGTCAGGGGGCACCTGGCTGGCTCAGACAGTAGAGCATATGACTCTTGATGTTGGGGTCATGAGTTTAAGCCCCATGTTGGGTATAGAACCTACTTGAAAAAATAAAATAAAATAAAATAATAGTAACCACCATATTAACACATAATCAATTCACTCTAGATGTTGGACATTGAACCCAAGACAATGCCTGACCTTCTTCAGGGCTTACTGCTACCTCTGCTCACTCCAGCAAGAGAGCCAAAAGGCTCCTATCACATAGGATAGGATTAGTGCTAACTCGCCAGGACATCTGAAAATGCAAAACACGGAAACTCTACAGCTGTTTGGTAACACAAAGCCACTTTTATCACAGAAGTTTAACTGAAAACAACGACATTTAAATCTGACGTTCATCCTGGGTCTCCCAATGGAAGAAAAATGGAAATTCACAGCTCTTAACTCATCAATGCTATAATAAAAATAGCATTCCTTTTGTTTTGGGTTTCGGGGGGCAGCAGGAAGGTGATGATCTGATTTTAATTTTTATTAATCCAAAAATTTTGAGGAACTAGACTTCATTTCACTTCCAATAGAAGAATATTTTTAAACAAATATGTGGTTCTACTTTGTAAAAACCATTTTGTAAATAAAAAGTCTTGCAATCTCCACAGCTTCTCATTACTCTGTACAAGCCTGTGCAGAATTATCCATTAGAGACACTTACTGAAATACTTACAAATGACATGACGAAGGCTAGTCATTGCTTCAGAAATAATACAGGCTGGCGAAATGGGTGGGAGTATTGATTTTATAAAGTTGGCTTTGAATTGACCATGATCGATGTCAGGCAATGGGCAAATGGGGGGGGCGGTCACCATGTAGATCATCTACTTTTGGGTATAAGGAAATTTCCCACAATAAAAGAGTTTTAAAAGCAGAACAGGAAGAGTATTTTGACATTCGTTAGGAAAAAGAAAAGTTGCAAACCACAGCAAGTAATGATTAGAGCTCCAGATTTTAGCAGAATGTGGCAACATAGTGTTGAGAAGTTGACGACTTTGGCCATTAATTATTTTTGTCTTCTTAAACCTACCTGGTCCGCAGCTCACTGTCTCATTAAAATGGATCTACCACATGTTCAGTGTGGAGGTACCAAGCCCTCCCAGTGGGAGAACCTCAAAAACTAACAGCCAGTTGATACTAATCTAAAGGGGATTCCCATACAGATCAATTTATGACCGAAAAACTATGAAAATCATGTGTTCAGATCACATTTCTTAGCCTATTACCAACATGATATGGCTGCACCCTTAAATGTGCATCCTGAACAAATCCACTTGCATACACAGTGGAATGGGGAACTCAGAATACCCTTCTAGAATATTCTGAAGGGAGTGAAAGACTACAAGATTAAGTTATCGATAGTAAGTCTTCCAATCAAAAAAAATATATAAGTGTATATACCTAACTCCAATTTTAAGAAAAAGTAATCATCACTGTCCTATGTCATTTGTTTTATCCAAAACTACCAGGAAACCATTACTTAAAAGACCCAAGACATAAACTACTCTAACACAAATTAAAAGTAAAAGCAATATTACCCATGATACAATGTCTTCGGGAGAATTATAATAGCGTTCGTTGGGGAAAAGGAAGAGAGACGTGTTGGGGGTTTAAAAAAATAAAAAGAACACAGTGCCAGGAACCTTCCTATGTAAGAAAACCAACACTGATTCAGGCAGAATGAGCTTATAACTCTGATTTAGGAACATACTAGTAAGGCCATGGGAGGTTTCAGGTGAAGGGGCAGAAAATGGGACTCCACGTCCACAACTCCTCTAAGCTCTTGGCAGGGTTGTCATAGTCTCCTGAAAATTCAGTAAGATGAAAGGAGAAAATGTTCACTCTTAATAGTATTCTCATCTACTGACCCAAATACCATCCACCAACTGACAATTATTCATACGCTTCCAATAAGAAGCCACGGCAGGTTTTCATGTGACTACATTAGTCAAGGGCTCTTGGTGGGACCCCTGTGCTGTGCACACCTACATGGATCTGTCCCTGCCTAAGGCTCAAGTCTTAGGCACTTTTGCCTTCATGGGTCAGGAACATGAGACCAACATGTGGGTGTGACATCTTGAAAGAAAAGAGGGCACAAAGAAAGTTCTTCTTTGGCTGTTACATCTGTAATTCATACTTCAATTTTTTATGAGCTCTGATACACGGATGATAGAAGAAGGGTGGAAGGGATCTCAGGCAGCAAAATCAGCAGCAAAAGAGGACCCACAGGGAAAGAGATGGAAGACAGGGTAGGGGTGGACAGGGAGGCAGAGCCAGGAGGTCCCCCAGAAACAAAATCGTCCCAGCAAGAGGTGGAAAGTAGAAAATCCCGCTTCCCCATCCATGAAGACTGGGCCAACTTATAAAAAAGATTTCCAGATTCTAGAGCTTGCAGGTTCCCCAGACCTTTCTAAAAGTCGGAGTCCCTTCAAGACCACACCACATAGACCGAAATAAGAAAATCAAAGCTTAACGTGAAGTAGTATCTTCAAAAATCTTTTTGACACCCTTTATTCTGTGGCCAAGTCTACAACCGCCAAGTGATGGATATCAACGAGGATGCTGCCATCGATCCCGAAGACACGGAGGTCCAAGCTTGCCCTCTCCGCTCGCCCATCAGACACACCAGCCAAACGTGGTACTCAGTCTTTGTGTAAACGGCCCTCAGCCCTCTTCGGTTTCTCACAAGGAATCCCACAAAATGACTGGAATGTAATCTGATCGGGGTGGAAGCTTCAACCACAGTTTACAATCCTACTTTGAGCCCTGAGAAACGGTCTGCTTAAAACCACTGATGCTACTGAAATCGGAACGAGTCCCCACTACCCGGCTAAGCACTACGCCCTTACCGTGTTCCAGGGCAAGAATAAAGGCATCAAACAGCTGAACTCTGTCGTCTTCACGTCTCAAACTCCCCATTCGACGCTAAGGTCCCAAATGGCCAGAGCTGCTGGCTGAACTCTGAGCCTCACATTTGACTGTACAACATCACAGAATATACATCCTGTGACCTTCGCTTTTTTCTCTTTGTGCAAAGTAACTCAATCAAACTACTGTTTGTTCTTTTGTCTTCCGAGACACGTGCAGGATCTTCTTGTCCACAGCATGTTCTAAAATGATACACTGCTAGGTCTGGGGGCCGGGGTCGGGGGGAGGAGGGGCTCCTTTTACTCCACGTGGTCATCTTACATAGTTAAAAACACTGAATTTGGGAGTGAGGGTCTTTTGCAGGCTATAACAAGACACTGCAAATTTTTAAAACAAGCCTCTTAGAACTGCTGGTCTCTTGAAAATACTAAACAGATAAGAACAGATACTACACTCGATATGAGCCAAAAGGCCAAGAAGCAATGTCTCTTAAAGATATTGTACACCTATTAACTGATAAACTCGAGCTTAAGAAAACAGGATTTGAAAATGAAAAAATGGAATCTAGGCCCAATATGACACATTTAAGCACACAGAAATGCAGAAGTAGTAAGTGATTTTTTTCTGCCCCAGATTGGGGTACACCTTAAAAGCACAGTGAAGAGTATTGCTGGTGTACCCCAACTATGAGAAAGGCAATCATATCATGGGCCATCAGTCTCTTTCGAAGTTAACAATGCAGGGGAGAAGCACGTATATTAAATCAAGAGCAAATGCTACAAGCTAGAAATTTAAGATACTTTACCACCTACAGAAAATGCATTTTCACTCCCTAATGGAAAAAAAAAAAAAAAAACACAGTTTGGTTTGGCTTTATATTTCCAGCACTTTTACATTTTCCTTGAGATATTTGGAAAGATGAAATAGTTACCCTAAAAAAAGTGTTTGTTAGCCAAATGCATTGTAGCAGACACTGTGCACTGTCCCTGAGGACCATTTTCCCCCTTACTTCTCTTGGCAAAAGCAGCTTCCATACCTGGGGAGTTTCAGCTACGAAGCTGGGCTCCACGGTTGCGGAGCACATCTGCCACCCTCCTTTGCAACAGGGGATGGCCATGTGCTGAATTCTGGCCCACGGAAGGTGAGCAGCAGGCCCAGGACTCTCTCCTTCTGTCTTTCTTGCTGGGAACATGAAGGAGACTCGAGTTTCCATCACCCAGTGGTGCTGAGGTCCCCCATCCTGAACCACTCATCCCTGACCTGTTGCCGGAAGGAGGGACAAGCTTCTAAATGACCGTGAGCCACAACATATGGGAGGTCTTTTTGTAACAGACATTTAAGTTGTATCCTGATACATAAACCATGCAATCAAGGACCTCAGATGTGCTATAAGGTCAAAATCCCCAGAGACTAAAAATGGGAAAGAAAAAAAATAAAGGGGACCATGAAAATGAGAAGAAAAAATCAATAATAACCCAATCCCTGTGCTTCTAAAAACCACTTAAAAATCTTCATAATACAGTTGACCCTTGAACAATGTAGGGTGTCAAGGCAGGTAATGGGGGGTGACGGGAGCCGACCCTCTGTTCAGTCAAAATCCAAATACATCTTCTGACTCCCCCAAGCTTAACTACTAACAGCCTACCGTGACTGAAACATAAACTGCTGATTAACAAATCCCTCGTATATGTACGCACGTTAAATGTAATCTATAATGTATTCTTAAAGTCATTTAGAAAAGCGTAAGAAAATGTATTTACGGTACTGAACTGTATGTATCGAAAAAAAACAAGAATATGTACGTATAAGCGGACCCGTGTGGTACAAACCCGTCGAGATCAAGGGCCAACTGTACTTTTAGCAAGCCATATTCATACACAGGCAAAGTCAACCTACATTCCTCTAAATGTGAAAGGAAACATGCTTTTGACAGCAGAAAGATGAGTTACACTGAGAAGCTAAGTAGGCAAGCGTTTCAAAAAAATTAAATTTAATCTAATATACTGCACTTAAATATTTGTTAAAGAGTTGCTACCAACTACGCTAATAGAACGTTTAATTGACACTTATTTGCCAGTTGGTTATTTATGTGAACGTCCTTCTGGCAGAAATGCTTTTGCAGAAATCCAACCTGGCAGGCCCCATAAATACATACACTTTACTGAAAGGACCATTAAGGGGACTTATAAATCTAAAACTCCATGTACATTAGGGATCTAACATTAATTTTGATGGACTAACAAATTACACATTAGATGTACAGATGAAGAATGAAAAAAATGGTGCTTTATTCATTTCAAAAAACAAATCTGGGATTCAGTATCACTCCCAATAACATTAAACAAGGCATATAAATCATCCCTTAATCTCTGAAGGGCCATAAAACATTTAAACCAGAAAATAGGCTTTAAATTTTATTTTCTTTGGAGATTTTCGAGAGTTTTGTTTTGATTCTGTTGGAGGGTGGTGGAAAGTTGGTGTGGGTTGGCAAATTATTTTGCTTTATGACAGTCTCAGAAGACAGTCATCATAGAATTTTCTAAGAAATAAGCTGGTCAGATACTAATGACTTCACATAACTGTCTAGCGTGAAAAAATCATTAAAGATGATTTTAATGGCAGTAACTCCTTTCTATGGTCCACGATGGGCTTTTGGGGGCTATTAGTCACCATTGTGTAATGATGTCAAACGGGCTTTTTTAAAAATCTGCATTGTTTAATCCACAATGCTTAAACAGCTCTGTCGGCTGGTTGGAGACAACCAGAAAAATAATAATTACAAAAACCCTTAAAATCATACTTCTCTTCAGTTCTGCAGCACTTCCCTCTGCTTAAATCTCTTCAGAAACAGAAAATTCCTAGGGGCGGAACGTCTGTGAATTCTTGCTCCGCACCCGCAGAACGTTTTAAAAGAGGAAGAGTTGGGCCACATGTTTGGGGCGCTCCTTCCATCCCCAGAGCTGTTGTACGTAACGAGATCCGTGCTCACCTTAAAAAAGACGACTTCTTTTTTAAGAAATGCTTGACACAAATTCTTTTCACAGAAAAGACCACCTCCACAACCCACAGACCATTTCTGGCCTGCTCTGAATGCGAGCTCTTGGGTACGTCGTGTTCTCAAACACGGGGCGGGACGCTCCACCTGGGCATTTCACCAGCATCCAGACCTCGGGGTCTGCAAGTGGGGTGACGTGACAATCGCCACGGTGAAGACCCACAGAGGAGACGGTGACGAGAAGGAGCAAAGCAAGCCCCGGACAGCCACGCGAAGACACGGAGGAACCTTAAGTGCAGATCACTGGACAAGGAATCAGGTGGGAAAGGCCACCTACCGTACGGTTCCAGCTATCAGACATTCTGGAAAAGGGAAGACCGTGAAGACAGTAGGCAGAACAGCGGTGACCAGGGCTTGGAGAGGGGTCTGGGGAGGGATGAGTACGTGCAGCAGAGGGTTTTCTGAGCAGTAAAACTACGTCATGGGATGCTCTATATTACGGTATCCTTGCCACGAGGGAGCTGTCCGACAGAAGGTACCCCCACCCCCGACAGTGAACCTCAGTGCCAGCTGTGGACTTTCCATGAGGACGCAGGTTCATCCATGTTCACAGTGAGTGGGGAGACGCTCATGATGGGGGAGGCTGTCCGTGTGCTGGGACAGGGAGTGGATCGAACCCTGTACTTTCCCCACAATTTTGCTATAAACCTAAAAACTGCTCTTAAAAAATAAAGTCTGTTTTCTTTCAAAGCACCAGACACTCAAAATCCTCAGGCCAGGGGCTCCTGAGCCTATCCCCACCTCTCCGATCCCCAGCTTTCCCTGGGCTCTGACATCTCAAGAATCTAGAATATGTAGGACCCTCCTTCCCCACCATAAACCCCTCCTTTAAACTGGAATAGCAGAGAGACTCTTCCCTAACCTCAGAGAGGTCAAGGTGAAAAAACCAACACAAAATGCCACTCCGTCCGTAAACGCAGCAGCTACCCAGCTTCTGGAAGTCTGACGAAGTCCTCGGCACCGTCCCCAGGGTCCAATCCCCGGCTCTGGTGTGGTTCCAGGACTGCCACCCAGGATGCACAGCAGGCAGAACCAAGGACAGGCTGGGGTCACGGGACACCATCTGGGTGCTCGCGGGCTTCAGGTCTGCCCTTTGTATGCACCTCTGCTTTCCCCAGACCCTTAGACGGCATCACCAGACGGCCCCCCTGCTCATCACCGATCTAAGACATGGTGTTTCAAAGACTAGCTGCTGTCTAAGCAGAATTCACCCAGCCTCTAGGATGCCTCTCTGGGGAAGCACTTCTCAAAGAGGAAGAAGGCTCAGAAGCCCTCTCATGGGTACATCCCGAAAGGAAACGTACCACTCAACCCGGGACCCGGGAGCCCAGCCCTGACTGCTAGGACACACACACAGCCCCATCCAAGCTCCCTTTGCTCAAGTCACCCATTCAGGGCCCCAGAAGCATCCCTTATGGCTCCCTCCTCCTTCCTCAGTGGGTCTACCCTGTTGGTGGGTCAGGCCAGCCCTGACCTTTCCTGCTACGTTTCCCAGTCCAGCGTCCAATCTTGCTGTAGGTTCTAGATCTGTCTTCCAACGGGCCCATGCTACTGCCCAGAGTCTTGCTTTGCTCTGGCCAGTCCCAGGCCCCAGGCCTGGACCCGTGATCGGGACTTCCCACGTGGAGTCTCTGTCCACTGGGTTTCAAGAGAGAGCTGAACTGCCACAAGCCCATCCCACCTCAGAACTCACCCAGCCGCACAGCAGGTCAGCCTGATTCTCGATCGTGACAGCTGCCCCCGGCACACGTCCCCAGCCCACACTCCATCTGAGCACGGGCCCAGGCCCTCGCTCCTTCCCAGGCAACTCTATCAGCCACCAACAACACAGCTCACCTCCTGACATCTCAAATCACAAAACTCATTAGAAGGGATCATGTGTGCACCGGGTCGATGCCCCGAGGCTGTGCCGTCTTAGGGCTGCCCCGTGTTTTGGGGAGACAGACTAAGGGCTATTTTACACAGGGGGCACGGCGCTTGTAGAAGAAGTCTAAGCTCCTTACAATAATGACATATTCGACTCAGAAAGCACCTGTCCATCAGAGAGAAGCACCTCTTTGCTCTTTATTTCCCCCACACCACATCCCTCTGTTGCCACCTGCTTACTAGATACAAAATAAACGTAAGACCTACCTGAGCACTCAGAGTCCTATAAATCAGTTACTCGGCTTTCCCGAATGAGAGCTGACACTTTGCTGTATGACAACCCCCCATCTCCAGAACCTCCGGACGGGCCACTTGCTCCACGGTAAATGGCATTAGCTAGCCCTTGCTATCTAGTGGGCGAGATGCCCGCTCTCCCCAGATCTTCTCCCTCCTCCCTTGCGATCAGGCTGTCGGGCATCACTTATCTGCAACACAAGTGTGTATGACCAATGGCTCTCCTCCCTGCTTCAAGCCACTGCTTCCAGGACGCGCCAGGCTTCCAC